ACAGTTCTTCACACTGCAGTGGAATTTTGCACCAACCAAGAGATATGAAGGCTGAAAGAAGATCTTTTCCATTTGTTCCATGAAGGGTGCTTGAAACTGCAAACCAAATCTAATTTTTGAGATCGTTACACGCCCTCTCCAGTAATTAAATAATTTACACTTAAACATAATTTTTAAACTTTTGTAGGTAAGAATTAACGGTATAAAAATACTTTGGGGAGTCTAAACATGAGGAAACAAAGAAGACCCTTCCAAACTGGAAGTCTTTATTTTGTTTTTCCGAGTAAATGTGTTGTTCGTTTTGCTTTACTGCCGTTGTGAATAGCGCTGTGTGTACAGGGATCAAGATTGCAAAATTCACAGTGTTCCACCATTTCAGGACAGAGTGCATTATTTTCTGCCGTAACACTTTTATTATTGACTTATTATTCAGAATTACAGATTAACCAACAGTGAATCCAACCCTGAATTATGTTTCAGGGCTGGTTGAGTGTCTCCAATATTTTGGATAACTATTTCTAATTCAGAGAATAAGCCATGACATTGGTCTCAGATTACAGTGGTGGTACACATGTACAGCATATGTAGTGCCTGTCTGCAATCATGCAGTGGATTATTTATTTTTTATTTTTTTAACTTGTCCAAAAAATGTAGGGTAGGCGAGTTTATCTGGAGATCAACTTGTATATTGTACTGTTGTATCAAAGCCATAGAAAAATGACTTGTAAACTTATTTCCTACGTCATTGAAATAATAGTCAGTTATTCAATGACAGGAACAGGGCACTGAGGCAAGAGGAAGATGTTGCATATCAGAGTTCTCGTTACTGAAATGTCGGCACTTAAACCACAGTGGATCTTTGCTGGCAGCCCCTTCTCAAGATAATGTGCTGCTCTTGATTTGTATTTACATTTTATGGTTGAGTCAGTGTTACTGAAACAGTTTTACCTGTCTATGAGACACTGCATGATTCTGGTTGAAAAAGTCCCTGACTTCATATCTGAATTTTAACATTTTTATTTTATGCCCCTGCTTTGCAATATTCTTTCATTTGCTTTTATATCCTGTACAGTAATTTTGATTGTCTTGAGTATGTAAGATGCTATACAAATAATCTTGCATCTATGTCTGCCAGGTACTTTAACTCCAAATACCGAGCTCCCAAACAGACTCAGGTGAGTTAATGCAACAGTTGTGTCTACAAAACCGCAATCAGTTTTTACTTGTACATTTTATTCATTTATTTTTTTTTACCACTTCCTTATAAACATTGTTTGTTTTTCAGAGTCAAATCAGCGATGTCCAAATGTCAGCCACTAAACCAGAGGAACAGCTGCATTATGGAGAAATAACGTTTAGCAGAAAGACGCCTGAAACTTCCTCCAGATTGGTGCAGCACAACGAACAGACTGTGTACGCGGAGGTGAAATTGTCACAGCGAGAAAGCAGCTCTAAGCAGACTCCTGGGAACCCCGAGGATGTTTGCTGCGAAGAAAAAAAAGAATAACCTCTGTTGTGTGACGGCAGACATCTAAAGTTTTGTCTGTGTAAGGGGAAAGGCTATGATAAAGATGGAGAGTCTGCACCTCAAGACCTTGTCACCCTCCAATGCGCGTGCTTCTGTCAGTTATTAGGGATGAACAACATGGCTACCAAGAAAAAGTTGTTCATCGCTTAAAGATGAACATACGTACGGAAACACAACTTTTAATTTGTTCAGTTTATAGTTAGCTGGTGCTACATGTAATAATGTGGTGCTCTTCCATCACAGATGCTTCTGCTGATGCCTGGAGCGGCCATGTTGATTTGTGAATTTACAGTTACAAGTTGCATCCCTCTGTCCCAGTGTGAAGTCCGACTTCGGGGGTCATTCAAGTTGATTTTTCCAAACGGGAAGTCAGAACGTCCGAGTTCCAACTGCAAATGGAGCGCACCAAATTCCTCAGCTTTAACATTTGTGGAAAAATAGAACAGTTTTTAGACTGTAAGCCATGGATCATAAAAATTTCAGAACCATATCATTGCTGGTACTTCCTAATATGTAAAACATGCAGACTATTAGAGTTTGTACTTTCATTTTGTTTTCTTACTTTATTTTTTATTTTTTTCACTTGGACCGTAACAATATAACAAAATGTATTATGTGACTGATAGATTGTAGGTGAGTTGGCGTGTCAGGCGATGGCTAGACTTCCCATTTCTGCAGTGACTAGTGATTATTCACAATTTGGAGTCAAATTGTGCTACTGTAAAAGACAATGCATTAGTTCTCTGCAATATAAACAAGCTATTATGTGGACAATGTTGCTAATATTTTTTGTTGTACCAGGAAGGGTTGCCTTCCCTTTTCTGAGGTTCAGTGAAAGGCAGATGATTTTAAAACTCAGTAAACGCACAAATTAGGAAGTAAAGTTGTTGTTTTGTTTTTGTTTTGTTTCTGAATCTCAGAAAATGATTGTTTTCTATACAGTCACCTGCTGCCAGTAAAATAAAGAGCACATTTTTTCAGGAATCGAAATGTATAAATAAATAGACCCCACATGTTTCAGCAAATTTTCCCTTCATCACAGAAGTGACGACGCTTGTAAAATAACATGCTTAATAACATGCTCTAGCATTTACTGGGCAAATATGCCAATGTGTGTTTTTTAATCAAAGCTGGTTGGAAAATATAACTTCTGTAATCTTTAAAAAAAAATGTTTGCCTCATAAATAAGCTGTGAGAATTATTCTTCAATTGTTCTTTTTAACTTTTCCTTGACTTACGGGACATGTTAAATGCCTATTTGATCAAATAAATACTCTGCACTTTACAGTTCGTTAAAAAAATATGCAAGCATCTGTCAGAATTAGGTGATTATTATTGCTTCTCTGCAAATTCTGACCAATAAAAAAAGTAGCTAATATACTTTCTTGTAACATCTTTTCTTTCTGTCTTGTTGATGCACATTTATCACACCTGGCACTTTTCTCCACCCTTTCCAAACTGGTTAGACCACCGACCCCTAAGCATTTAATCATCCTGCAGAAAAGTGTGACTATTTCTGTGAACATAATTACTGGTCCTTAAAATTTGTCCTTAAAGTTGATGTGTTAGAAGGAAGAATAACAGAAAAGCATACGACTCTCAGCAGGCTTGACATGGAATGCATTGCGACGGTTTGACATGTGAGTCAGATTATCTTCAAAACTGGAGGATTTTTGTTGTTGTTGTTGTTTTGTTTTGGTGTTTCTGGCCAGTATGTATCAAAAATGTGTCCAAAAGAAACTGGGGGACACAGAAATGGGCAGCCAAGACTCATGGAGAACAAATCAAATGCTATTTATTGTTTTTAGCCTGTTCCTACAAATGATCTCCTGTAGCTGTAGTTCCAGAGTTCATCATGCGTGATAACAGAGGCAGTTTTGGTCTTGTTTACTTTGGTTTCTGCTTATTTGCATGAAAAACAATCACATGAAGCCCCCGTTGTTACTATTTAGTATGTTTATCGTAGATCAACAGAGGCAACAGTGTACATACAGAGTAAGAGTGTGTAGCTGCCCAGCAACACGGTTCACGCCGGATTAAACCCCCATGCCTTCAGGTAATATAGACTTGAAGCAGTGATGAGAAGGAGTTGAGTGTGATTTACTTCTTTTTGTCTAAGCATTTGGAGAGGAAGACATACAGACACGCCATGCTGCAGTTTATGGAGGTTTGTGCGCACAAGTCTTCTTTTTTTTTTTTTGGAGATGCTTGTGAATCTCATTGATTAAAGTTAGATTATTATAACATTCAGCAGCCTCTCAGTAAAACAAAAAAAATATGTTTTTATGGAGTGCTGAGATGAGGGGAGGAAATCTACATTACCCTCAACATTTATTGGAACTCACAGTAAAGATGTGCTACAAAGTCTTAAAGGGGCGGGAGTATTATGTATTTTCCAGGCACACGGTGCCATTTTATTGCATAATCAAGTAGCTGTGTTGTTAGAAAAAAGCTGCACATATCAAAAATGACGCAGGCATTTCTGACGCCATTAAATTGGCCTTTGTCTCTTTAAGAGTCTCCCAATGTTTCCAATACTCCCTCTTTAATAATTCATTACAGCAATCCTTCTCCAAGAGTTGAGTGACCTCCGCATGGTTCCCATGTGAGACTCAAGGATTCCTCAAACCTGCATGAAAACGTCAAAGCCACACTCCAGGTACGTTTTTGACAAAAAGAAATAACAGTACAACTTGATGTAAAGCACAAACAAAGTAAATTTTGTATGATCCTTTTAAAATAAATGGAGACACATTGACCACTAGATGTGGCCACTGCTAGAGTTTTCTCTCAACAAGTTTGTGGTTTTCCCTCTTTTTTTGTCAACCTTTCCAGCCACCTCTTGTGTTTGGTGAATTTTCATCTAGCTTCGTTTTTTTTTTCTCTTTGCTTCATCATCATAAATCATGAATTTATTGTACATATTCTATGTAAAATAGGTGTAAGTGATAACTATCTTCTTATTTACGTTTCCTGATTTTTGAAGATCAGCACACATCAGCCTTATTTCAGTGACATGCATCATTTTTGGAGTGGCTAAAAGAAACAGGCCATTATCTTTTATTTGTGATATTTATGTATTCACTTATATTTATTTTATGGGAATTGAGACATCGCTGAATGAAATATGTTATTTAGATGGGATTGTATCGCCTGTGAGTAAGTGAATGTACTTAGGCCAAAGGTTATTTATTTCTAAAATTGCTAGATTTACTCCAGAAAGTGTATTTGGGCTGCAGTTCATCTTATGGACTTATTTACATTACTTTCACTTAATTCTTTTGCTTTTGCTATGACAACTTACTTTTTTGTGTTCATTTAACTCAAAACGTACAAATCTTTAACCTAAAGGAACTTTTCACTTTGACTTTACTTAAAACAATTAAGTTCAATGCCAGTTTCATATCCTATGTCTGACCAACTCAATTTATTATGATCATCCAACTCAATTCACCAAGTCCTTCCATCTCAATTTGCTAAGTTTCTATAACTTAATTCATAAGGGGGTTTAACATGACAAATTTAAGTCACTCTTACTCAAATCATTTATTTTCTTCTAATAAACATTTAAAATATCTTTGACTTAATTCTACAGAAAGTCAACTCAAACTTTTAAGTAGTTCCAAACTAAATTTTAATACTCTTTTTACAGTGTCCTCTACATACACAAATCTTTTCCTTAAATGACCTTTTTACTTTGACTTTACTTGAAATAATTAAGTTCAATACCATATTTGTATCCCTCGTCTGACAAACAAATGACTCAAGCTAACCAGGGACAGAATCCCTGGTAAGTGACCGTGGCTCTGTGGGTAGAGTCGTCATCTTGTGATTGTAAGGCTGTAGGTTCGATTCCAGCTTCCTCCTGCCACATGTCAATGAGCCCCTGGGCAATTAACCCCAAGTTGCCTCCCAATCTGGGCATTAAGTGAATGTGACTCTAGTGTAAAGTGCTTTCAGTGGTCAAAATGACAGGAAAAGTGCTATATAAGTGTATTTAC